GGACTGAGAGAAGACCTTTGGAAAATAAATGATCATCAGTATGAGAAATGTTTCAGTCAAATAGTGGCAGAAGAAATCTGATGCAAGATGTTATTTGATACTGGGCAAGTAAAAAGACACTGAAAACAGCAATGGCAAAGAGTGAAGAAAAGGCAAGAGATCATTAGATCAAAGGGGTAGGAAGGATGAGGAAATATTTTCATAGCAAGAAAGTGTTATAGAGAGAAAAGAGTTAACAGAAGGGCAAAGAAAGAAGATGAAAAAACAGAAAATATTCATGGTAAAGTCTCAAAGAATCTTCAGAATAAGGAGAGAAAAAGGAAATAATAGGGTAAGAAAAATGCATTTTAAGAAAGAGAGGAGGGAGGCTGGAGTATAAAGGTAGACATCTTTGATCTTAGTTTACGAGTGTGAATTGGGCTAAGAATCTTGAAAATGAAATAAATATTGGGGAATGTGAATTAATAGGGAGATGAAGGGATTGGTGAGCAGTACTGTGAGCTCTGCTTATGTCAGCTGCCGAAGAGCTGGGTTTTGTGAATTCTTCCACTTGCCAGTCTACAATCAGGAGTTGGAAAATGGGGGGGGGGGGGAAAGACTTCTTGAATTTGAGACTGACAAGGAGAATAGATTCATTTTTCTGATGATAAATCTATATAACAAGTATATAATGACATTTTATTGGTACTGATGTTTTTCAGTTTTTATTCTCATGACTAGTATACAAAACTGTTTATTTTCAAGATGCCACAGCCAACCAGTACGGGATCTGTGCTTATTCCAAGGGTTAAGCTACAGATTCTTACAACTTAGAAGCTGAATAGGTCCTTATTGGTCATTAGTTCAAGAGATGAGGTAACTGAGGCCCAAACAAGCCAAGAAACTTGCCCAAAGTCACAGTAATAGTGGCGGAGGTCTCCTGATTTCACTTCAGTGCCCTTGGCACTATCCCACAAATTCTTCCAGAGAGCACATCTGCCAGAGTAAAATGCATTATCACTAGTGGTGATACACCCAGTTAAGTGCTATGCTCTAAAAAGGAAAACCCCATAGCATCCCCTAGAATTCTTTTTTAAAGTCAGCCTTGCCTTTCTTTAAAATACTATAGAAGCTAGTGAGCAATTTTGCCTCAGCAAAAGCATACATACCACCTTAAGGCTTCTGCATATAGATTGTTTCCAGGGTCCTGGGTCAAGGTAAGCTGTGTAAACCAGAAGTAGCCTTGGGACCTATTATTTTGATTTGAAGTGTGGTGAGACAAAAAGAAATCAGGTGGAATCAGACCTCTGTTCTGCATAATTGCGAAGAATAAGTCTCCAAAAGCCAAGGAAATCATTCCAGGGTACATCTGGGTCTTCCTTAATAGTCTTAAGGCTGAGTTTAGTCCAGCAACTTTGCAGCGCTGGCTGAATTACAAGCAGCCTAAAAAGAGATGGGACTTGCAGGAATTTCCAAGTGCCTCCAAGCAAGGTTTACAATGAGAGGTAGGGAAGAAAGAAGCAACACTGCAGTACAGGTAAGCAAAGAAACAAGAAAGGACTGAGGCCATGAACCCTACACCTGTTCTCAGCAAGGTGGCTCAGTTCTACACGGACCTGAGGGTCCTCTGTTCCCCTCAGAGGCCAAGCATTCACAGCTTCCCTCTAAGGGCTTTTCCACTTGAAGGCAGTAGTTGGCCAGGCAAAGAGGCAGAAGTACAAAGAGTATGGTAGCAAAACAAAAAGCCTAGAAGGCTGGAAGAGTTTTTTTCCCCCCAAAGTATCTGTATGTAGTTCTTATTATGAACTTGAGGGCTGAGTCGGTATACTAGCTAGATCTTACAGTTCTGCAGAGAATGATCTTTGCAGGACATCTCTGTTACCTGAAGATGAAAAGGAATGTGAACCAACTCTGATAAGAATTCAGACTTGGGCCAGCTGACAGCTCAGGTGAATGCCCTCTGGAGCAGCCAGAAAGCAGAGCATGTAATTGCAGAATAGTTCTGTTTCCCTTGGGATGGGGGAAAAAAAAGAAGGAAAGTGCAAAACCCAATATGATTAAGTGAGATAAAATATGATATTAAAAGTAGGAGAACTTGCCCTGGCTGGTGTAACTCAGTGGATTGAGTGCTGGCCTGTGAACCAAAGGGTTGCCAGTTTGATTTCCAGTCAGGGCACATGCCTGGGGTTTTGGGCCAGGTTCCCAGTAGGGGGTGCACAAGAGAAAACCACACATTGATGTTTCTCTCACTCCTTCTCCCTTCCCTTCCCCTCTCTCTAAAAATAAATGAATGAAATCTTTATTATTTTTTAAAAGGTTTAAAAAAATTTACTTATCTTTAGAGGGGAAGGAAGGAGAGAAGGAGAGAAATATCAATGTGAGGTTGACTCTAGTGGGTCCCCTGCTGGGAACTGGCCTGCAACCCAGGCATGTGCCCTGACCAGGAATCGAACAGCGATCCTTTGGTTCGCAGGTCCACGCTCAATCCACTGAGCTACACCAGCCAGGGCTAAATGAAATCTTTAGAAAAAAAAAGTAGGAGAACTAAAAATCTTAAAAGATTTAACTAAGTAAATGAAAGTGATTTTAAACCTGATGTAAGTAGCATTTATTCTGAGTTTCAGAGAAGGTGAAGAATTTTGGAAAGTATTTGACATGGCTCCTAAGTTCAAACAATATGACAGTATCTATCAGATCTACATTAACCTAGATCCAGAAACTACAATGACACAGATGCAAGCTTTCATTCATTCACAAAAATATTTTTAAGGGCTTACTACAAGTGTTAGGTATTAAGTGTTGGGGATACAATGGTGAGCAAAACAGAGACTCTGAGCTCACAGAACTTCTCAAGTAGTAGACAAGATACACATGAACAGAAAAATATAATTACAGATGGTTCCTGATCAATAATGGTCTCACTTAAGATTTCTCAGCTTTAGGACTGTGTGAAAGCCATATACATTCAGTAGGAATCAAACTTCAAATTTTGATCTTTTCCAGGTTACTGATACAGTGTATGATGCTCTTGTGATGCTGGACAGCAGCAGTAAGATGATTTTGCCCAACTATAGACTAATGTGAGTGTTCTGAGTATGTTTAAGGTAGGCTAGGCTAAGCTATGATGTTTGGTAGGGTAGGTGTTAAATGCATTTTCCACTTACAATATTTTTGACTTACAATGGTTTTATCAGGATGTGACCCCACTGCAAGTCGAGGAGCATCTATCTATATACACAGCACTGCAAATTGCAATGAGTGCTGTGCAATAAAGTGGAGAGTGCATTAAAGGTGTATTAACAGGGGAACTCAGCAATAGGCTGCCAGTGACATTCAGAGAGCCTTTCACAGCAAAAAAGTTATTTTAGAAAAACCATCAGGGAGGGAGAACAGGGGTCTTCAGATAAAAAGGTATCCATTAGTCTCAGGAGAGTAAAAGGTGAGCCTCACTCTCTTGCCAAGTTTTCATCAGGTTCACCTACAGGGAAAGCATCTCGCCCTTGGAGAAAATCACCATCATAAAGATGGATACAATAAATAGGCAGGAAATTGATGTCTTTTATCTTCAATATATTGAGGCAACAGTCCCCGAAGGTTGCTTGATGGCACAGAGCTGTGGTCTGGAAATGTTTGTCATTCCAACAGACATTGGCTGTTGAGATGTTTGGCCACAGGCAAATGATATTTTAAAAATCAGAGATAGCCACTTGTGATTTCCAGACTGGGTATTGTATACATACACCCAGAGCCAATCTCTACAGTTAAGCTCTTTGTCCAGTTTCTCTGCATCAGTTTCTAACACAACAGGATTTTTTTGATATTGTCTCAGGCACACAATAAAACCTCATTAGCAATTATTCTAAAAGCTGAACCTTTATTACGTAATTAATGATGACAGCCAATAACACAGAATTCTTAACCTGTATCACATTCATTGCCAACTTCATGGTAGACTTTAAATAAATAAATACTGAATCACAACACATAGTCAGAGGAACATATTTCTATCAGAATGACAAGAATGAAAAGCCTGAATTTCCATGGGCAGCAGGACATGATAGCTTATGATAACCAGAAATAAGCAGCTGGGCTCCTCCGGGCCTCTAAATTCCTCAGGGTGGGGACGCTTTGAAAGTCTGGTTATTGACGCAGGACTTGAGGGGACTCTGAGGCCCAGACTTTCTAACCACACATACTTTGACAAGGACTTGGGTTTTTAATTAGAAAATGCATTTGCTGAAATAAAATTGCCACAGATAGTATGAAGGGATCTGAAATACCTAGTAAGTCCCTTTGCATTCTTATTTTTTCTGGGTTAAGAACTCCTGAAAGAGAAGAGATTCTGTTCTCAGGGGCAAACGGAACATATAAGTCTGGACTGTGGCCCTGGGCAGCAGCACCCTACAGTGAGCCAGCTGTTCAGTGGGTACCTGAGAACGAGACTGTGTAAACATTTCCCTGTTGCCTAGGCCTACAAAGTCTGCACTGACAGATGCATGAAGTGGCGTGGGTGGCTGGGCAATGAGGCAACCACTGGGAAGGAGCTGGCTACATCTCTAGGTGTTAAAAAAGGCAAGAGCTGCACATTCGATGAGCCAACACCAAGTCAATTTCAGAGTGACTGTTTTCCATTTCCTTGACTCCTACAGCTGCCCTTTTATTACTTTTTCTCTTCAAGCCTCACCCAAAAGTTCATTTACTTGAATTCTCCCATAAAAACGTGATAGATGGGGGTGTGGAGAGCACAGACAGTTTGAATTACCTCGCCAGCTCCTATCAACTGACCACTTAAGTACCAGGGCCAACACTGTTGCACTGCTCTGAAGGGGAGACAATTAAAACTGGCAATCTCTACAAGCTGGGAGACCTTACTAAGAAGTTTACTGTGATCCTCTGGGTAGGTATCACCAGTAGACTACGGTCACTTGAGACTCCTAATAAACACTTGGTATTATTAACAATAAAACTCTGCAGAAGCAGGCTGAGAAGGGACAGGAAAGCCACATGTAGGTAGCACTTACCATCTTCTGTTTCCTGCCACACAATGCCCTCGAGGTTGACACTTGTCCCGGGTTCACAGGGGCCCAGGCATTCAGGCTCGGTGGCTAGAGCCACATCACATGTGTTGACCCCGACTGATCGAGTACGAACCATAATCTGCTCACAGGGAGATGAGATGTCATTACTGACCACTGGCACCAAAAGGTGCAGCGGCAGCACTGCTGGTGTAGAGACAGGGGACTCCATCTGTGGAGGAAGAGAAAGTAGTAGCTGAGTTGCAGGAAGAACATTCAGAGGAAATACCTTTTCTGTATTTAATCTAGTCCTACATTCTTTCCTGCCAGAGTTCACAGGGCTCTAAATATAAGACTTTGGTCTTTCCTTTCAAGTTCTACCTCATGACACCACAACAAATCTAGCAGTTTGCAAGAGTGCTCCCCGTGCTAGGAGAAGCTCTATTTCTTAATAACAGTTTCCCACACACACCATGCATGTCTAGAAGCATAAAAAAGAACCTTGTCTCATTTAAAAATCTCTAGTGAAAGAAAATCAGGCCCAGTTTTCAGTAGGAACAGGGCACACAGACTGACGAGAAGGAAAACGACCAGTTTCTGAGCCATGTTCTGCCACCGCTGCCACTCCATTTCCCAACAGTCTGTCCTCCAGGACGTGACCCACTAACCAGGTTTGAAACCCAAGGAACACAGGTGGGGAGACAAAGGGGGAGAAACATCCAGAATCTCGAAATGCCACTTCAAGGACACAGGAGCTTTAATTCATCTTTAGATAGAAAAAAAATCATCTTAAAAGTTATATAGGAAGGCTGGGAGCAACCTAATGAAACTTTCTTTTATAACAGCAATTAGTTAATGAGAATGGCATTTTGGAATGTGAATCTAACATCAAATTTATCTGCAGGAAACAGGAGGTGTTGTTACGACCCAGAAGCCAATGGGTGGCAGTCGGCTGATGAAATCGATTACACACACACAGATAGAAACGACTGAACATAAGGACAACAATCTACCTCTGAACCTAGAACTTCTCACAAAAATGCAATTTCTCAGATTCCAAGAAAAATGTAACACATTTAGAGTTAAAGTTATAACAAAGAGGGTAATACTGTATTTTGCCATGTATAATGCATTCCTGTGTATAATGCGTACCCACATTTTGGGCTCAAACTTGTAGAAAAAAATCTTTTGTTTTGATTTTTCAATTCAATTATTTATATTCAGAAACAAAAATGAAATAGTATATTTCGGGGTATTATTTTGCATACAGGTAGTTATTGCTTTCTAGAGTTATACCATTAACACATAAGTATAAATAAAAGAATTAAAAACATTTATATAGATAAAGAATTAGCACTGCCAAGGTATAATACACATCCTTATTTTTCCTTCAAAAATTTGGGCAAAAGAAATGAGCATTATACACAGCAAAATACAGTAATTCCTTAACTAGTTAAATCCTAGCATTTATCGGGCTGACAAAGTACAAACTCTGAGTCTACAGTGCCCAGACCCTAACTGAACATAGCGCATGTTCAAAGAAGGCACTCATACACATCGACTGGTCTGGTACGATACCAATCAGCAGACTTAAAAATGACAGAGACCCTCTCTCTCTGTCAAAGACGTTTTAGTTCAGGTTGAATGTACTTCTACAGACCTACATTCAGAGACAGCCACACAACGGACCCACAAACCAAGCTGCTGGACAGCTCTACAACAGAACTCTGGTTTGGAGTAGTTCCCTGCATGACCACTACTCTACCTCTAATCCACTACTTCCTCTTAACACTGACATCTGGGGATTGCATCCATTCTCAGCAGTTAGCCCTGACATCCTGGCTTGTAAGTCACTGCTATTTGCGGATCATCACTGTCAGAGCCCACAGACTGCTAAAACACCAATTCTGAGTAATCTAGTCCCTGAAAAGCTGCCAAAACATTATCCTTATCTGCTTGTTGTCATATACACCCACCTTGTACTTCCCTAACTCCGTCTTTTTCATAAAATGATATGAAAGTGGAAGCCTGTATAATGAATCTTCTGCATGATGATAAATGCCAAAAGGCATTTTTGCTCTCTTGAAAATCAGGCATTTAGAATTTAATTTGGCAACCTTCTTGGGAGTGGTACATTCTTGAAAGACCCTTTAACATTTCCATGCACAGACCTGAAGGTAGAAACAGCACAGAAAAAGTAAACTAGACTCCCTCCTACTCCTGTGTAGTGCTAGAATTTGGCTCTAATTATTAAGCCCTTTCAGGAATGCTACAAGAAAGTGGATCGTAGCTCTTTGGAGAGAAAGCTTCCTGGAGAGTCTACCCTTGAGAGTTACTAGAAGGAGAAATTAGAGGCAGATTATACAGATCAGCTTTCCCCTTGGCCTTACCTCTGTTTCTCTGTTCTTTCTCTTCGGGAAAAACTGGGACAGAAGCAATTTGCAGTCAGGGTGTGCATTTCCTTTGCTTAGAGTTTATTCTCTTTTCTATACCTTTATTCTACTAGCAAGAGACATTCCTACAAGGTCCTCTTTCTGGGACACAGAAACCAACCTAAACCTTCTAGGTCACTCCTGTGAACTTTCTGATTGCCTTGTTTGAACATGGCCCGTGGCCAATCTGCTCCACTGCTAAGGCAGCAATCCCAAGCACAGAAGGAGGTAAGTCCCCAGGGAATCACCTACACATTCTCTCCGGCATCAAGGACAGCTCTTTTCTGGAAGTGGATTCATTTTCTGCTGAGTTATTCGGTGCTGTGGGGGTCCAGAGAGAAGAAAAGCTACTAACATTCTAGGTGAAGTCAAGCCAAGCCCCTAGTTCCCTACTGATAGATCCAAAAAACAACATCTAAGATATTAAGGTGGCAACACCAATATTGCATTCAAGCACTTTGCCAAAATTAAACCCTGCTACAGAAACCTAAAGAGAAGAAACTTAGCCCAACTGATCACTAAGAATAACAAGAAGTAATACTCATGAGGAACTGATTAGCATGTATATGCATCAAACTACCTTACTGATCAGAGTCATTACTTAGAGTTCGGAATCTCCATGTGAGGATGCCTTTATTTAATTATTTAGTTAATTAAAAGAGATTTGTGTGTGCGGTGGGGGAGAAGTGAAGAAATCTACCTGTGGGTTTGGAACTATTCAGTTTCCTTCCACTTTGCAATAGAAACCTAAGGAGAAATCACGGCACAGCACAATAATGTTTAATTAGAGCTTCAGCTCTGATCATTACCATTTGGTCACGTCCATAATCTACATTAAGCCACAGTGCGTAATAAGCAGCTCTGTGATAATTTATCTAATAACCTAGGTGGCTTTCTCGGATTTCATATTCTACTATTCATTGGAACAAACAAAGCTTCATTTATCACTCTCCAGGAGAGAATAAAAATCAGAAAAGGACTCATTCTGCCATCTTTGCCATATACTTAGGATATAAGAGCAGGGATTGTCAGGAGATTGATGCTAGCAGGGAAAATAAGGAACAGGCACAGAAAAAGTTAAGGTAATTAAACACCTTAACAACCAGAGCAACAAAAGCTGGGCCAATTCTCACTCTGAAATGCTAAGTGCCATCAAGGCATCTGGGGCTCTTTGAATGTGGAGGTGAACAACAAAACAAAAAACCTGAAAAGAGAGAGAATTTAAAAATGGGAATCTCTTAAGTCTCCCAACAATTTATGTCCTTTATCTTTTAATGGTATTTCTTTTCAACTCACCTTTAGATATTAGCACCTATTAGGGATATGAGTGCTGACAGGCAGGTGACATGAAATGCGGACTAGAGAGAATAAAGAAAGGCCAGAGTCATTAATCTCCCCACGAGAAGTAACCATACACCGACTTCAGCTGCTTCCCACACATGAGAGGCATGGCTGGAGGAAAATTTCAAGGCTGCAACAGAATTTTGGGGGTAGAAAACGCAGTGAAGGAATATTTGGTTCATACCCTCCCCTCTCCTCTATACAAATATGAGTCTGACATTTTCACCTTCGCAGTCAAAAGGCAGAAAGGAAGCAGGTTCTCCTGGTAACTGCAGTAGCTCTAAGAAACTCCCCTTTCACCCAAAAAGGAAAGATAACTGGGGGACTGTGGTTAGACGAATCTTCATATTTATTCAGAATTATCAGGTAAGAACATGTAGAAAGTAGAATGCCATCAAAATACTAAATACTATATTAATAAGATGTTGCCTTTCTTCAATATCTACAAAGGTCCTTCAAGATTTTACAGTGACTCAGCATCAATACCACCAACAGTAATACAGATTCCTGATTCCTGGACAAATACGTAAATACTCCCGTGACACATTATGTAAAACTTGACTTGCCCACGAAGTTTTCATTGTAGATTATTAAAGAGTAATATTTTAAAAATCACATTTATTAACTTATTATGTTATTGGTGAATGAAATTTAAAAAAAGGAAACTATCCTCAGTTATTTGAGCTGCTTCATGCTGACTGGGATTTTGAAACAAAATAAGTTATTGTATTTTTAAAAACAATTAAGGATTATTTTTGATTATTCTGAAATAGCAACAATTCCTTGTTTGGAGAGCCTGGCAGGTAGAAATCATGGAATACCTGAAGGAAAGGCAGGCATCTAAATTCCTCCTTTCCATATAGCTCTTGTCAGAATGCAACAAAACATTCAAAGTAAACCCTAAAACAAATCAGTTGCTTTTAAACACTAAGTACTCTTTGCACCTAGGCTGGCTTTTACCAGCACCGGGCCTGGGGGCAGGCCAGCCAAGGGACCAAGACACCCCAGACCTGCCTCCACCTGTCTCCACCTGCAGGCTGCCTGTTAGGCCCAGTCACTGAATGAGACTTGGGCAAGAGGTAGGTTCTCAGTGAGTCACCAGGTAGGGAAAAGCGGTGCTCACTAGGATCGCTGAAGGGTCAGTCTTGGTGCCTGTGCTGGATCTGAGGCAGCCCAGGAAGTGTCCCAGGGTGCACCTCTGTGGTGGGGTGAGGTCTCAGGGAGTTGTCAGGGTGAGGCCGACAGAGTTTATCAGGTCCAAACAGATCAAGATTTGGCTGTGTGAAGGGAGAAGTCTGCACAGTCTGGGCATGCAAGGGAAAGTTGTCCTCTGTCCTGCAGTCACAGAACTCAGTCCCTCCCAGATTTTCCCCAGAGCCTTCTTTGACCCTGCCTCTACTTAAAACAAAACAAAACAAAACATAAAACCAAAAAAATTAAAGGGAGGAAGGAAGGCTGG